GCGCGGGAGGCCGCCGCGCCGGCCTGCTCCTGCCTGCTCTGCAGCCGCGTGGCCGCTGACAGCGGCGTCGGGGCGGGAGGCTGGGGAGGCGCTTGAGTTCGCCTTGAATCTGCCAGGCAGAGTCGGACCCAGTGCCGTTTTGGCTTTCCTGCCCCGTACTGGCGGTGGGCTCCAAGGCCTCGTCAGATTGTGTGTTGAGAGACAGGCTGTCCGGCAGGCACCCCGGCTGCCCGGCCTCTCCCGAGCCGGATGATGGGCGTGTGCCACCACGCCCGGCCCACCTTTCGCTCTATGGGACCGTGGTTCGTTTCTGTAATTGCGAAGGAAGCGTGCTTCCAGTGGTATTTTTGTTCTCTCTGGTAACGTGAGAATTTTTTGAAATCTTGCACTTTATACCAGCTCTCATGCGAAACTACTGTGTTCTCTGAAAAGTTAAGCACTGTCAAATCTACCCCGCTGAAGTGCCAGTCCACTTTACTGAGGTAGCAAACATTTGTGCTCTGAAAACGGTTTAATGTACTCTGCTGAGGTAGCGAACATTTGTGGGCTTGACAGTTTTGATGGTTTCCACCAAGGTTTTTTCGGGTGTGGTCTAGAAAAGGGTGGTGTCTAAGCAGTACCTAATGGTCTCCTTTTGTGTGCCTGCTTCAGTTTTCATTATCTTAACTACCTTATTCATATTTGGCCGCCACAAATACCAAGCCCTTCAAAGAAAAAAGTATTAAATATCATGACATGGTAGGTCCAGCTTGATGTACATACTTGAGGTAACATTCAAAGGGTTTAATCTATTTCCGAAATGCTTGTCTCAGGTTCTCAGTTAACAAATGCCCTCCTTCTTGCCCAGGTACTGTCTAGCTTTTCTAGTAGTGTGTCTGTGTATGCCCTGGAGAGCAGCACTTCGTAAGGAAGGGGAATCTGCCAAATCACACTGATTTCTTTTCCCTACCCACTCCCCATGGAAATGTTTTGGATAATACTAGTTTTAGAAAGCTTTTGCTATGTGCACTGAAGTCCAGCAAGATGCAGGTGGCCCCTGAGAGTGTCTGTGTGCCATGGTCCTTCAGGAGGACAGGAGGAGCCCTGAAGCATAATCCGAAGTAGACGGATTCAGAAGTAGAATTTTTAGATTTTGTTTATTCGAAAGTAGCATAGAATGGTTTTATCATGGCTTGTCTGTTTGTAAATGTCCACATGTGTGTGGATCTGTGGCAGTGAAGGTGAACCTGTGGCACCCTTGCCACCTCAGGCTGTTGCATCATTGAAAGCTCTGAAGGGTTTACCATCACTGATGTAAACCAGTCTTCTTTGCTTCTATAGGCTGCAGAGCTGCGTGCCTACCTCAAGTCCAAAGGAGCTGAAATCTCAGAAGAGAACTCAGAAGGTGGGCTTCATGTGGACCTAGCTCAGATTATTGAAGCCTGTGATGTATGTCTGAAGGAAGATGATAAAGGTTTGTTTTTAATTTTTTGTAATATTTCTTAATCATACAATTCTGTTATGTTGTATTTTAGACCTTTCAGCACTGTTTTAAGTCTTTAGGCAATTTTGAAAAAACCTCCTTTAGTATTTATATTTTTTCCAGGTTATACTCATCAGATGCTGGTAATTTAAAAATGAACACCAAAAAAAAAAAAAAAAAAAGCTTATTTTCATTCATAAGAGTTAGATAAATACCAAACAGGAGATAATTTCAAGTGATCTGAAAACTATTTAATTATTAGGCTGATTCTGATTCCCCATTCATTGAAATAAAGTGAGGAATTTTTAAGATTGCTGGTTCTGAAATCTTTAGATGAGGTTTAGAGATTAAACTTGGAAATGATTAGTATATTAATACTTGAAAATGAACCAAACAACCAGAACATTAATAGCTTACATAATCTTGTACGTATGGTACAAAGTTTTCTTCATCTTAGACAACATCCTAGTATAAAACCTAACCAGTACCTTCCATGTGATTTAAAGTCATTTGAGTAAAAGTGGGAAAGCCTGTGTACGTAGGCAGAGGGATCACTGCTCTGCTGTACTGGTTAGAAACCAGATCTTAGCAGTTTTCTTTTTCTCTGTGGGAGGCACCGTTGATTTCAGAGTCTGTGCATGCTGCATTTTTGCTGCCCTCCACTGAAGGGGAAGTGTGCAGAGGGCTGCGTCACAGGGGCCTGGTGATGCTGCCGTAACAGTCTTATGTGCTCTTGAATGAAAACCCCAGGAACCTGTATGTAAGTTGACACTGAGTGCCGTATTGCACTGCTGACTGTGCCTTTGCCTCTATGTAGATGTGGAAAGTGTGATGAACAGTGTGGTCTCCCTGCTCTTGATCCTCGAACCAGACAAGCAGGAGGCACTGATCGAAAGCCTGTGTGAGAAGCTGGTCAAGTTCCGGGAAGGCGAGCGTCCGTCTCTGAGACTGCAGCTGTAAGTTCCCTGACAGGTTGGCTCTAGTTCATCCTGCTGTTCCATTCCCTTTGAATGGCTAAGAGCAGGGCTTCTGCAACTTGATGCCGACTGTGGCTCTGTGAGCTGTGACTGTGGGCAGGTCCCTGCATGGTACAGTAGTAACTTGTCAGTAATGCTGTCTCGGGGTGGTTATGAGGATGGAGGAGACCCCTCAGCTTCACACCCTGCTTGCTGATCGCACATGTGGCTTTATTGTTCATTAACAGGCTCAGTAACCTTTTCCATGGGATGGATAAGAACACCCCAGTGAGATACGCAGTGTACTGCAGCCTTGTTAGAGTGGCGGCGTCCTGCGGGGCCATCCAGTACGTCCCCACGGAGCTGGACCAGGTGCGTTGCAGTGTACATTCGTTCTGCTTAGTGGGATGGAGCACCAGCGGTGTGTGTGCTGATGTTGCTGTTCAACGTATGTTACTAAACTCCCTTTGCTGCTCCCATCATAGGTGAGAAAATGGATTTCTGACTGGAATCTCACCACTGAAAAGAAACACACCCTTTTACGGCTACTTTATGAGGCACTCGTGGATTGTAAAAAAAGGTACTCATAAGTAGCGGGTGAACTTGCAGCTTGCTCTGCATTGTAAATAGGTGGGGATGGTTTTTGCAGACAGGGCAGGCACTCTTGTTCTCTTTCATCCTCCACAATTGTTACACATCTATTTTTGTAAATTTTCCTAAGTTAAAAGATAATGGCAGTGGGGCTGGGGATTTAGCTCAGCGGCAAAAGCGCCTGCCTGGCAAGCGCAAGGTCGTGAGTTCGGTTCCCGGTACCGGAGAAAAACAAAAACAAAACAAAACAAAAGATAATGGCAGTGATTACAGTGGTTTTCCTTCATCTTAATAGTTTTAAAAAGTGAAACTTACATAGTTCTAAAGTTGGTACAGTTGTTAACCATAAGCTGTACATTGTGTCAGACCAAGCTGTTCAGCGGTGCACTGTCATCTTGTGAAATGGTCGTGAGGCCCATCTGTCACAGGTGAGCATGTCTCAAGGAGACAGCTCTTCTGACGTGAACTGGAAGCAGACCGTAGGAACAAGGATGTGTTATGCTTTGGCAGGGCTTGGGTTTCTGAGGCTTTCAGCCCCACAAACTCGATGCTCAAGGTACTTATTCTTCCACACACCTAGTTTTAGGATTCAGCCCAGTTTTTAAAAATCATTGTTTTTTTAATGGAAGATAATCTTAAGTTTTGGGGTTTTTTTCTCTTTTTTTATTTTTTTTGTCTTTTTGAGACAGGATTGTGCTGTACCATTTATCCTGGCCTTGAACTCACCTGTAGCCCAGGCTGGCCTTGAGCTTGTGGCGGTCCTCCTGCCTCAGCCTCCCAAGTGCTGGGATTACAGGCATGTACCACCGTGCCCGCTAATCTTAGACTTTGACCATCTTTTAAATTTGTTTTCCACATTGGTTTTAGAAGAAGTAACCAGTCTTCATTTTAGCCATTTCCCACAAATTTCATAATGGCTTTTGGTTTCAGAGTGTTTAATATATTAGAGTGTCGGCAAGGTTAATAGGTTTTTGTTGTGTTAAAATAGATTGTTTTTGCAGACTATTTAAAATATCAGAGGGAATGTGGACGTGTTTGTTGTGAAAGTTGGAATGCTTTGTCTTTGAAGAAGGTAGGCAGGGGCGTCTTTCCTTTATGTCAGTCTGAAGCTGTGGACATTTCTAATGAGCTGTCAGTAAGTGCCAAAAGGAACAGAAAGGCCATTTCAAATGGAGATCATTAAGAGCTAATAGAGAAGGAGTCCGAGTTTTAATGCAAATGTTCAATACGTGGGCTTTTTGGTTCAAATCGGTTTGCCACTTGTTGCATAACTGTGAATAAATTACCGCACATAGCTCTGCCTTAGTTTCCTACTTTAGCATGGGAATAATAATAGTACCTCAAGTTGTTGAAAAATGAAACATAACAGACATACAGGCTTCCTTCATAAAATAGTGTTCGTTCACCACCTGTTGGGTATTCCCTGCCACCCTTTGCATTTTTTCCAGGCCTGTCCTGAGGGATCAGTTGATTTCCTGGCCCAGGGACTCCTAAGTGATTGGCACTGCTGTGACTTCCCAGGCACCTGTCTCGGGAGAGTTTTTCTCAGTTTGTCATCAGCCAGCCCTCAGCTGATGCAGTGTAGAAGGAAGTAGCTGAAGGAATGTTCTGAGAGAGCTCTGGCTATGCCGTGGCTGCTGCCTCCCTGCCGGACCTTCCTGGCAGTCACATACTGGACCCTTGGCAGACCTTGCGTAGTCTCTCTGTCTCGAAACCCTCTCTACAGGTGGGCTTGGAGGCATCTCGCTCTTGATTCTCTCTTGCCTCACTCTCAGCTCCTCCCAGTGGGTTCCTTCTGTGACCCTGAAGATGGGGATGACTCAGTGCGAGAGCTTTTCTGCTTGGCTACGAAGTGCCTGTTACCGGGTGAATCCGGGGGTGAGACGGATGGCCAAGGTTGGTGCACACACTTGGCACCTGAGCCCGGGCCTTCCAAGGGCCGCAGTGCTTTTAGGCTTCATAGCACTCACGCAGCTCGGGCTCAGGCACCCACTCAAGGCCACTGCCGTCTGACCCCCTGCAGTCTTGTGCCATAGAGTCCTGTGTAGATAGTGGTAGCTTTCAAGTTTTACCTCAGTGTCTTCCTCAAATGCCAGGTGTCTTTTCCTACTAGATGTCTCCATTCAGTTTTGAGAAGGCTTCTCAAACTTGGTGTCTACACAAGTGAACCATAGAGTTTTTTCCTTCTAAGCCTATCCTTTGTCTTTCTCTCACTCCGGAAGGAACCATTTCCACTCCTTCATTTGCTCAGGACCAAAGCCTGGGATTCAGCTTCGGTGTCTCTGTCTTAAACCCCACATCTAATCCATCAGCAGGCCCTGTCAGCTTTGAATAAGTCCAGTCAGACCAGCTCCTTACTACTTCTGTTGCAACCAGATGGTCTGCACCACCATTTCTTATTTTGGTTCTTGAAGTCTTTTTTTAACCAGTCTCTGTTTTGGTCCTTGTCCCGTTACCGTCTGTTATGAATACAGCTGCCAGGAAGTTCTGTTTAATGTGGGAAATGAGATTTTCCTTCTCTGCCCAGAAACTTTTTCTGAGTAAGTACAGATCCAGCTCCAGCTCCAGCTCCAGCACCATGGCGCTGGCTCTTCCCGGAAGACTCCGTGGCACCCCTTCTTCAGCTCTACTCCGCCGACACCTCAGAATGGCCTTCTGTGGCGGCTGTATAGCTGGACCCTGCACACCCCGTGCCTGTTGGATCGTCTCCTTGTACTGATAGAAACAAGTACTTAATATTGTTGGTGGTCTGCACGGGGGTCGGCGTTTCATTGAGTTGCTGCTGTGTTTCTCACAGGACAGTACCTGGCCCTGGTAGGTACTTGGTGTCTTTGTCACTCTTGCGAATACAAATAAACATCTCTGCCATCAAGAGCCAGAGATGGCAGCAGGAGGAAGCAATAACTGGAACTGGATGTAGCACTCACGGTCCAGCAGCCTTCAGAATACAGCATCTGAAGTACACGGAGCAAGGCTCTGACTCTTTTTCCAGCGTGTGTGAGTTTCCAGTCATGGAGTGTGGTTCCTTCGCACTGAGAACGGATCGTGACCATCCGCGCGCTCTGCGCACACCCCTTGTCCTCCTGGCTCACCAGATGTGGCTGTGGGCCTCTTCTCGTTCTTCCCCAGCCCCTTGGCAGGTCATTCTGACTCCTGTACAGGCCGGGATCACTCTCTCACGTCCCTCCCTTGGGCCAGGCCATTTGCCCTTAGGGCTTCCATACCCTCAGGATGCAGATCCAAGCGTGTACCCCAGGCTGTGCTCCTGAGCTTCAGACCTATTGCCTGCTTCTTCTGTTTCCATTTGGAAGTGGCCACAGGTGTCACCTTCTCAGTGTGATTAAATGTTGGTCACTTTCTCTCTCCAAGTTTCCGTGTCCTTGAGTAAGTGGCACAGCTGTTTGTTAGCAAGACATCTCGGTGTGTCCTCGATGCCTGCTGTCCTCAGTGCCTTGACAGAGCACTAGGCCCAGCTGTTTCTGTGCTGCAGCGGTGACATCTTTTTGAGCCAGCCTGGTCACTTTGGTGGTGGCAGCTCTTAGGTCTTCGTCATGTTCGGTATACAGTACAAAATGGTTACGAGAGTGTGCGGCCTTCCCAGCATAGCCTCCCGCCTGCCGCCGTGCGTGGAGATCCACAGTGCTTGTGTACATTGCAGTGACGGCTGCACAGACTGATGCCAGCATTCCCTTCGTCTCATCACACCACAGACATGGACGGCCAGTCTGGGTCAGGCACAGAAGCCTGGGCGATTCCCATCAGGACCGGAACTGGCCCACAAGTTGAGGATGATTCTCACACTTGCAGATAGTTGAGAAAAAAGTCAAAAGGAAGAGTATTTCATGACATGAACATATAAAATCTAAATTTCAGTGTCCATGGTACTTCATCGCTACACACCTGTGCTTGGTTGAGTTGTTAGCAGCAGAGGCTGCTAGGCTACAGAGCCTAAGATTGACTCTGGCCCCGTATTGCACATTGGCCTCTTGATGTTCTGGAAGCCTGAAGCAGCGTTTGTCTCATGTTTAAGTTGTATACCTCCCTTTAGAGCAGTGTGTACTTTTATGGTTGCATTTAACACCTCTGTTGAGAGTGGGTTGTCACCTCAGCTCAGGGAGGGAGGGAAGGACTTGTCAGTCAACCTCTCCTTCCCAAGAAGATATTGAGCATATTAAGGGCACTGAATGGATCGATGCCACCCGGCCTAGGGGCCTGGAGGAGGCTGTGTAAATACTGAATGTCTGTACTTTCTGAATTTGAGCCTTACCATTTGGTATGCGTGAGAATGTCAGATACCATGCTGTGGACTCTTTAAGTGGATTATTTTATCTGGCCTTCATAAAGATTCTTCAGCTGCTAAGATCTGTGGCTGCTAAAGTGGAGATTGAATGTACCTATGCTTGGAGGGTAGACCAGACTAGTTTTTATAGTTACATTACTCTGTTTAAGATGCTAACTACCACTTAACCATGCCTATAATTACATTTGTGTATAGACCTTAATTTTGGAAGAAATTTTAGAGTACCATTTAGCTTTGTAAGACAAATGCTACAGTTCCTACTAAGTTCAGGTAATTTAAATACAGATGTGGAGGGAAAAGTGATTTTTTTTGAAAAAGAAGAAAAAAATCCAGTGTCCCCTAGTTTAGTAATGCTTTGTCTAACTGGCTGAGGATCTGTTAGTTTAAAGGAAGTAATGATGGGTAAAGATAAACATTTTTTGAGTCCAAATTCAGTGAACGTAACAAGTTATTTTTACCCCTTTCTTGGTAGTAGTAATTGATTGACTTTTTTTTTTTTTTTTTTTTTTTTTTTCAGACAGTATCTCACTGTGTAGTTCAGGCTGCCCTTGAACTCACTATGTAGCCCAGGCTGGCCTCCAACTCATGGCAATCCTGCCTTAGCCACCTA